ACCTTCACAAGTAGAAAGGGATGCAATTCAGAGACAATGTAACTCTTGTACAGGTGTCCAACCGACAAATTTTGACCACTTGAATAATAAAAATTGTGGTCCCATTAACCTACTAGATCGCTAAGATGAAACATAAAAACTGACCAGAAGGTTCCATTGGTCAAACTCATAGCCAATGGTCTGTAAGAGATTTGCCCGGTGTAGCTGTCCGACGTCTACAGTGGTCTTCAGCTCTGAAAGTTTTCCAGATACCTATGAGTCAAAATAGGGAAACAACTTGGTAAAATTTATACAGAAATACCAAGATAAATACCTTTGACAAAGAGTCGCTGCACACCTGGAGTAATATGTTATGGTAGTACCCCAAAGAAGTTTTTCAAATGAATATTATTAAGAAAAAAAATGTTAACTGGGTAGAAATAGAGAATACATGGGTCATTGCCTCAACTTGCATCGACAGTAGCTGAAATGATTTTCTGTAAGGTTACAGGCCTTAAAGCAGACTGACAGGTTGGCAAGGGCGAGGAATAGTCTTTTTCTAGATTAAGGATAACTGGATACGTAAAGGAATAACTTTTTGAATTGTGGAACAAAAGATCAGATATTGATAGGGTGGGAATACTTTTTTAACAGATATCAGAAATCCAAATGAATTTTAATCCAGTTGAGTTTAAAGTCATGATATCTTTCATCAAAGGCTTACAAAAATTCAATAAGATAAATCTGATGGAAATAACCTCCTAATATTCAGGGAGATTAAGGCATAAAAACTGAAACTAAAATGATATTTGGTACTTTTAGATATTGTCGAAAGGAGATAATCATAGAAGCAGAGTGACACTTATATAAGAAAGAACCCCTTTTTCGGGGGGGATAAATATAACCAAGAACTGTTCTAAGAGTTTGATAATTGGCAAACTGCAACAATCATATGGTTATATTGAAGTCCATTCACTGCAAGCATACATAACTAAACCCAAAAAAGTGATATTTGTGGCATACCTCTGTTATCATCTCATACTGTTTGCCAATGTCATCAGTGAATGGATAACGATTTGCTCCAAATGCATCGCAAATTTTTAATATCTTGTTCTTCGCCCTTTCTCCAGAGTAAAAGATTACAAACACGTTTTTTTCAACCTAAAAATAAAAATTAATAAGCTCAGAGCACTTCAGGCATATGATTATCATAGATTTCATGAAGTACATCCAACAAGGAAGATGGGTATCAGATAAACAATAAGGGTGTCTTTATATCCTTTCTCCTCCAAGGAGGATATGGGAGTTAACTTAATACTTCAAACTTTATAACACTTTTATCTTCTAAAACGAAATAGTTGTAAATGAAAACTAAGAAACGCCAAATCCAAGCATCCAATTCCGAAAGCACAATAACTTTAAGCATCGTATGAGCCCCATCCCATTTTCAATAAGTGAAGTACTGGAGTCAACCTCTGTGCCTGACACCGGATCTATTACAGGATTTTCAACAACCACTTGCTTTAAAAATACATTTCCTCTGGTTGCACGAAAAAGAAACCTTTCAAAAGCCATAGATTTTTCTCTAGCAACAAGCCCACTGACAAATCCCAGCTTAACTTGCTTTGAAGGATCTGCAAAGGCTTCCTGTACAAAAGCAAACAAAGCATATCAATTTACAACTACTATAGCTCTACCAGAAAAATACAACCAGGCCAATATAACAGTACCTGCTCTAACAATAGAGGACTATCAATCGATCTCTCGCCATGTGCATGCTCCTCCAGTTCTTTATGTTGTGCAGTAGCGCTGTTTTGAGCTGAATGGAAAAACTCACCAGCCTGAAGTAACAATAACAGCTTGTATTTAAACATAGTCATCATCAAAGAGCATAACGCTAGCCAATCAGATAATATGTGCCTGGTAGTTCCACGGCGGAGGTACTTAGCATAAAGATGCCTCACCTTCTGCAGAACAAGCTTATACTCGAGAAGCTCATTATAAGAACGTTGAAGCTTTTCAGTGTTAGTATTCATCTCTGCTAGTTCAGCTTCGAGTTCTCCAAGTTTGACCTTCCAATCCCCAAAAATTGTTAAACATGCCAACAATCAGAATTATGTTGACAGTGTAGTAAAAATGAAATAATGAAGAATAGCATTCCATGGTAAGACTAAGGCTTAAATCCAAGAAGATGAAATAAGAAGACCTCCAATTCATCCAGATTAATATTTGAGCCCATTGTTGTCCTTGTTGAAGGAGTAAACCCTGCCTTTGTCATTTGTTCCTTCAAAAAGCGAAGTTTACGTGCCATTTCTCCACATCTTTTAATCTATAGAAATAAATACATACATAAGTTAAATGTGAGTATGTAAATAGAAAGTGAGTATTGGTGCGAAGTTTATCTGAACCATGATGCTAGTGGTACTCAGACTTATATGAACTGAATAGAGCATGTTTCAGAAATTGAATGTTTCAAACTGATGAAGTAGAAAGGCAGTGCTAATGAAAAGTCTGGTCAGTTTGAACTACTTCATTTAGACATTCAGATATTACACAGTGAATCACAGAAAGAGGAAGAACACATACAATTTATCTTAAACTCCTATATGATACAGAAGAGAAAGGCCATCTTTGTCACGCTGTTGCTTCAATGTATTCTGCTAACATACCCAACCAAAAAAACTTGTTCTGTTTTTACCATGTTAATGTATTTACTACTTAGGGGTCATTTGGTTTGTGGACAACATTATACTCGGAGTAAAATGCATGCATTTTACTACTGGGATAAATAGTCTCTGGATAATTTAGTACTAGTGTTTTGTTGTTTCTTTTTTACAAGGTGGTGTGTTTTTTTTTTAGTATTAGGGGTCGTTTGGTAGGATGCATTAGATAAAATGATGCATGCATTAGCTTTGTGTATTAGTAATGCCTTGTTTGGTACACATTTTGAACTTATGCACTAGTTATGCAAGCATTAGTTATATGCTATTATATTAGTTAATACCATGATAAAATGATGCATGCATTAGCTTTGTGTATTAGTAATGCCTTGTTTGGTACACATTTTGAACTTATGCACTAGTTATGCAAGCATTAGTTATATGCTATTATATTAGTTAATACCATGATAAAATGATGCATGCATTAGCTTTGTGTATTAGTAATGCCTTGTTTGGTACACATTTTGAACTTATGCACTAGTTATGCAAGCATTAGTTATACACCCTATTTGGTATTATCTTATGCATGACTAATGCATAGAAAATCATGGTATTAACAGTGCAATGGGTTTTAATGCATGCAATAGCTTAGTCAAAGACAAAATTGTCCTTCACAATTTATGCTTAATTAAAATATGCTATTATATTAATGCAAGTTTGAAATAATCCAAATAGTGAGAAATAAAATTATATCCCTTGTAAATAAATAAATACTTAGTATATATTTTTTTTAAAAATAAATATTCAGTTTTATACTACAATTAGGTAGACAAATCAAATAATTTTTTTTAAACTTTTTTCATATAAAAACACTCCTCAACATATGTTTCTTTTAAAAAGACAAAGTGATGGACTGGTTTTGAAGGTATTTTTGTAAACAAACAATTCATTTAGAAATTGTGCAATGCTTTAATACATCAAACCAAACAATGGATAAGAAATATGTTAGCATAACTAATGCCAGCATAACTAATGCAAGCATAACTAATACTAGCATTACTAATACACCCTATTCAGCATTATTCTTATGCGCCCTACCAAACGACCCCTTGGTGTTTGGTCTGGTTCATTGAATTAAAAACAAAATATATGGTGCATAATCTAAAACATGTGTTTGATTTGAAATTGGATAACTTGGATAAACTTTCCTGCTAATTTTAACCTTGGCCTTCTTAAAGGACTTTGGAAGAACAACCTTGGGGAAAGTTGGAAAGAACATCTTTTTAGTTTGGTTGTTTTATCAAAGGATTAGCTAATCCTAGTATTATTAATCCACGTTGAATGTGGTAAAAAAATAACAATCCCGGGATTACTTATAGTGAAATCCAGGGGCGTACACAGGCTTTTTCGCAAGCGGTGTCGATATTTAAAGAAGTGAATGATTGAACAAATATAATAACAACTCCATATTAAAAACAGATTCAAATTATAATAATAAAACACAATATAACTACATCACTATAACTTTCCTCGACGAGTTTTCACTTTTTGAAATATTTTTATAAAACTTCAATATAGTACTAAATATATTTTTTAGTTAAGGCATCACACAACCACCAAATTTAAATAAGTTTCAAGGAACTTAAAATAATTCATTCATTGTATAGACATGGTTCGACCCCATTGATCCTTTCTTCCAAGTTAGATGAACTTTGAGATGTTAAACTTCCCATTGATCCTTTCTTCCAATTTAGATGAACTTTGAGATGTTAAACTTGATTTTGAAAGCTTGGAAGGTGCTTTAGGAAAATATTTGCCCACTGAAACTAAAGTTAAATTACAAATTAAAATATTACTTAAAATAATTTCATGAATTCAACTCATAAAGAGCAATAATGTAATATAATATTAGAAGGCTTTGAGCTCTAAAAACACGAATATACAACTGCGGGGAAAGAAAATTATATTTTACAAGAAAAATAATAGCATAATTGGAAAGTGTTGGGCAAGCTTGAGTACATATATGAAGTAAAAGCTATGTCTATCTAGATCAAAATCCATCCATCTCTGATTCTAGTATAAAGATGTAATTAACCTTGGGGCAGCCAGATGCACAAGGAATTCCGCGTTCAAGCAGGGTGTGAGAAAGAGCAGCACCCCAAGGGGTGTGACGTACACAACCTACCCTAGTGCAAGAATTAGTGGCTGCTTCCACGACTCAAACCCGTGACCTATAGTTCATACAGAGACAACTTTACCGTTGCTCCAAATCTCCCCTTCATGTAGTTAAGCTTACAATTCAAATTTAGTATCTAGGTTTATTATAAAACACCAAAAATGACGCCCCGATCCCAAACAAGTTGGTGAATCTTCACTGAGCACATTGCTTCATTTCAACTCATCTCATGCCAATATTATGCAAATACAAATAAAAAGTTTAATGTATAAGTTCTAAACCTAAAAATCTCTAAAAGGCTAAACAACTTATAGGGAGATATAAGGACCAATAGTAAAAGTGCTGACATCTAAAGCATATTCTCAACTAATATGTATTGCCTATATAGATCTTCTTCCATTGTGCCATATATTTTGCTAAATCTGCATGGATCACTAGAAATTATAGGTCCTTCGAGACAACTTCCTTCCATGTGATGTATTTAGATTTATTATAGCAGTAAACTTTTAAGTTCTTATTCCTATCTCTTACAATTAATATAAAGTTTTGACAATATTTTCAGTACGCATCGCCCTTTACAAGTTTACTTTAAGTCCATTGTTTTCCAAGAGTTCTTCAATCATGCCGAAGATTTATACGCTAGTAAAAAATGTAGAAAACTTCTTACAATTTTTACTTTTATTTTTCTTTTTATTTTGTATACTGTTGAACTTAGATAAGCTTTAATTGAGCAACATGACCAAAGATGATTCATATAATCAGCCCCAAACTGCTTGGGATTGAGGAGTAGTTGCTTTTGCTATTCTGTCGCTTTCTACAAGATAAAACTCAGCCACATAAATTGACGTAAATTCTTTACAATACGGTTGGTCTGGCTAGTTTTTTCTAAATATTATGCCTTAGCATCTTCACTGAAGTGCAGCCGAAGCGAAGCGAATTGCTTAACATACATCAACAGTAGTACAAGTTGATAAAGACACACTGAAATGGAAGTATCAGAACACGTCTATGGACAACCAAAATCTAATTAAACTTATTCAATTTCAAGACATAACAGAATTTAAAAGAAGAAGATAACAAGAATGATAAAACGAACCTGGGTTGCATATGTCCTCTGGAATGGGCTCTTTTCCACATTAAGCTGCAAAAAAAGCATTACAAGGGGGAACAAATCATTCTATAGTTCTAAGATTTTTAAGCAACAGACAGACCTAGAGAGAGAGACTAGTGCATAATTATGAAACATAAAATTCCATGAGAATCGATTATCATAAATCCAAGATCATCTTATAAAGAAAGAAGAAAGAAAGCAAAACCCCTTGGAAAACGGAACTCATGCAGTCATAAATTGTTCCTCCAGGATAAGCAGATAGGAAAAGACAGGCTTAGAATATAAAGAGCATAGTCACACTGTATTGCAGTAAGGAATAGAAGCTGGCAATAGGCTGATGCCTTTAAGAAAAATTGAAGGTATGCAAAGATGACAATGTTTTCACAGGTGAAAGTATATGCTATTTTTTCCTAACAAAATTTCGAAATTACACTAAGGAAGATAAAAAGGAATCCTTCCGCAACCAACACTACAGAAATTGCATTCAGAAAGAAACCAATTTGCCTACTAAGAATCCTTAAAGAGTAACTCCTTCTATTTCAAAGGTCACTTTTTGGGGAATCACAATTCACACATTCTTTGCTAGACTATAAATTATCATACACCTTTTGCAATACTTTCAATAACAAAACAAAATGAACTTGAACTACTGATATGTAATTTTTGAAAACCTAAATTTTGTTCTAATAATTAAGCAACTGATGTCTAAATTAAAGACTAAAAATGAGATGATTTGACGTATCAGTATGAAAAATCCTGTATCGAGCTCAGCCTTTCAGCTATGAAAAATGTTGTAATATCTAAGAAAAAAGCAATGATCAAAATCAAAGTTACTGTATAATGCATGAAATACGTAAAATCAAACGCGTATCCAGCTCTTCATTCAGCTATAAAACATACAGGAAAATCGAATAACCCAAACAAATAATCAAATATGTAGGGATATAGGTATATTACATATTCATATATGAACCAAATGTGTTTGCTTAATGCTTACGTCTTTGAATTGGAAGAGACCGAGATCTCCGAGGTAAGAAATTGTACGATGAGCGGATTCCATCGGGATAATCAATTGCACCAATTGCATTGGTTCCGATCGGAGCAGATCCATAGTCGGACAACATCCTTCTCCTCCGACTACCATTGTTTGATTTTCTTATAATTGTTAAGTAATATATGCAAATGTAAATTTATCAAACATATAATGTCGTTTGTTTTCTCAATCCCTCCGACGAAATTACTGTCGGCGGGAATTCCGCCGGACGATCTATTTTCGATTTTAGCTTTCACCGGTAGTCTTTCGGTACGTTATAAAGTCGTAAATCATCAACGAATATTCTCTGAGATCTTGCATCTTCCAAAACTGTATAAATAAGATCTTCCAAACGACGCCGTCCTAATAACGCGTTCAAAATTTCCGTTGTTGTTTCTTTTATTTCATACATGTTATAAAATAAAGACGGTAAAGTAAAGACAACTATAGAGAGAAACTGTTATATTATTCGAATTCAAACTGATGTACATAATGAACTGAAATCTCTTCTATTTATAGAAGAAAGGAAGTTGTTGTGTAAGGTGTCACTATACCAGATATGGATAATCTTCTACTGAAAGCAATGTTTATCCATAACGGAGTACTGAAAGGATAAGCTTATTATACCTTATATGGATAATCTTCTACCGGGGGTAATGTTTATCCATAACTGGGTACTGAAAGGATAAGCTTATTATACCCGGTATGGATAATCTTCTACCGGGGATAGTATTTATCCATAACTGCGTACTGAAAGGATAAGCTTATTATACCTGGTATGGATAATCTTCTATCGAGGGTAATGTTTATCCATAACTGGGTACTGAAAGGATAAGCTTATTATACCCGGTATGGATAATCTTCTACCGGGGATAGTATTTATCCATAACTGCGTACTGAAAGGATAAGCTTATTATACCTGGTATGGATAATCTTCTATCGAGGGTAATGTTTATCCATAACTGGGTACTGAAAGGATAAGCTTATTATACCCGGTATGGATAATCTTCTACCGGGGNCTTAAATAGATAAACATATTTACGGTGGAGTCCCATATGGATAAGCTTCTTCAGGAAGCTTATTTACAACGGAGTACTAAATGAACATCCATAATATAATATATTTATAACACTCCCCCTTGAATGTTCATTAAAAGATAATGTACCTCATTAAAACCTTACTAGAAAAAATCACGTGGGAAAAAATCCTAGTGAAGGAAAAAGAGTACACATATTTAGTAATACGCATTGCTGGCTGCCTCATTAAAAACCTTATAAGGAAAACCCTGTGGGAAAAACCTTAGTAAGGGAAAAGAGTACAACGTGCATTTTACTCCCCCTGAAGAAAACCTTATATCAAATATTTGAGTCTCCGTATTCCAATCTTGTATACCATATTCTCAAAAATTGATGTTGGTAANTCTTCAGGAAATCGAACATAATTATCTGCATGCGCATTAATCACATCAAATTGTGATGCCTCAACTTCTTTTAAAATATTTACTACTTCAGGAGCNCCCGATCCTCACATTCTTTTACAATATTGTGCACTATATTGTATTAAATATATCGTCGACGACCATTTTGTGTCAGTTCCGAAGCTGACATAACTTTTGCAGATCTCATCACTTTCTTTATTTTCAGGTACCTGAACTTTTTCGGGAGTTTCATGAAATGTTA